GTAAATCTTCAGAGCGGAGCCGAGTGGATACCGTCATTTGTACTCCTTTTCTATGATCCTGAGTGCAACGTATTATAGAGAAAGCTGAACTCATGGATTCCCCATTACTCCAAGTGATGTTCTCACATAGACAAACAAATTCCCATGACAAACAAAACTTCTTCAAAAGTCACTTCGAAGGCAGAAGACTTGGACTGAAGGGTATGACCAAATTCGGTATAAGTTTGGACACAGAGGACATAGAGGATTTCTTACCAGAGTAACACTTGCTAAAAACTCCCCGTACAGTGCCAGCCATTTCGTCTGAACCTATGCAGCTGAATTCGTTGATGCCCCTGAGTCAAGAAGCAGCTTGATTAAAGGGCTAATGATCAGCGAATTTCTGAACTGCTCTCTCTTTTCTGAATGTTTACTCAAACCATGACGAATCAGTGTTCACATAGCAAATTACATAATGGATGGTGTCCTTTGAATCAGCCATTCCACTCGTGTTTGATGCTTTTTTTCAGACATTGCACACTTTTGATCTGTACTTACCTTGGTAGAAAATACTTATGGAAATCTGCAGGTTTTTCGTACGTGTGACGGAAGAGGTTGGGCGGTTCGGGCGCTTCGGAACATCCGACGCGGAGCATTCATTGGTGAATATACCGGCGAGCTGCTTAGTGATGCTGAGACAGCGCGGCCTGAACGAACAGATACGTACTTCTTCGAAACTAGAGTGGTAAGTGTATTCATCTCATGGATGTGCGGGTAAATATGTAGTGCGTGAATGCATTTGCGATCTTAGTGGGGTACTGGGCCGTTATGGGGCTTCTTTATGAGCAGGATTGTCGTATTTACAAATGGGCAAGCGCGAAGCTTGCCTTTGACAGAAGGTGCAATTATACACGGGGCAATAGAACAAACCAACAATTTTCGAATTGTTCCTTGAAACGATCATGTCTCATAGATTATGGAGGTGGATTTGATTTGTGAAGATGATCGGTTTGAAATTGGCAGTGTGTGCTTATGAGCATTACTTTTCAAGCAGTGGCTTCGCAAAGTCAAACTCAACTTCATTATATAATATATTAGATGTATCTAGCTCCTTTACTGCGGAATTTGTTTCCTACCTTGATCGTGTTCTCTGTAAAAAAAAAAAAATGAAAATTCAGGGAGAAGAATTGTATACAGTTGATGCGCGTTTGTACGGGAATTTCACGCGATTCATAAATCACAGTTGTCGACCAAATGCCACGGTGGGTTTTCTGATTGAATGGAGTGTACATTTTTGAACAGCAGAGGGTGTTAATGTAATTACTATGGTGACACCTCACAACTGTTTCAGGTAGGTATGGTTGTTTGGGAAGCCCAACCGGAGCAGCTGAGTCATATTTGTATATTTGCCGCTGAGAATATTCCAAAAGGGAAAGAGATAACGATATCGTATGGAAAATCATGGTGGGACGCTAAGGTATGAAAATTCTTATAATTACATGAAGCTGGTAATTGTTACATCGCTTATAAAGAAGTGATGTGACTAGTGTGTAGAGTGTGATATAGGGCGCGACCTGCTGCTGTATCTGATTCATTGAGCTGTTCTGGAACCTAGATAGAATACGTCTTTGCTTCCAGCACCCCTATTTCGGCACATGCCCCGCCCCCAGGATGAAAATCGTGTCGAGGACGTGGTCGCAGAAGTACGACCCCTCCCCTGAATTCGAGGTCTTGGCACGACCCCTTAAAACAGAGCATACGCAAAATCACAACAGCCGAGTGTATCGATCAACGGCCGATTCAACGGCAGCTGCGGCGCGATTTGTCCCTGGGTCAGATTTGCTGAAATCCCGAAAAAAAAACGTCGAAATCTACACCCTCGATGAAAAGGTTCCATTCCTCCATTCCTCATACCTAACGTAAGGACGTTTTGAACAGCGCGGGTAGGGTTAGATAGAGCTAGATTTGCTATCAGGTCACTATTGGAATCGTTATAATTGCTACCCAAAGCTACCCACTCGAACAATATAGCCTCACAAAATCCGTCGAGGCAGCGTAATAACGCTGAATTTTTCCAAATAGCGAGTTTTTGCCACTTAAAGGCAATATCTCTCTAATTTTGCAAGATCTTGGAAAAACGAAGACAGTTTTGGAAAGCGGAAGGTTTGCGCTTTCTAACAGTATGTTTAGCTTCCTTCTACATTCTCTAGTTGAGGAGATATTTGCGTCGAGGATCTATCGAGGATGATTCTCGGCCGCTCAAAAAGCCGCTCCCTTCTTCACCATTGCAAGTGTAATTCGTTGGCAACGCTCGAAATGTGTCTAGAATACATTCTTCCAACATAAGCAATAAAAAGGGGCAATCGTCATCACCATCCGATTTTGTCTGGGTATAGGCCATGCATCCGACCTTCACTCGAAGTTGCAGAATCGATTGAAAGGTGTTATATGATCATGACCAGTTGACAGAAGCTGCATTGTAGTAAATACATTTCGTAACTCCTATAGCCTGAGGAACAGCTTCATTTGCCTAGGGCTTTTCCTTCACGGTTGTCGTTTTTGCGACAGCGTCCCTAATTGTCGCGACCCGGTGCCCCCGAGGTGGTGGTGGATGAAGCGCATCGGTGGCGGAGCACCGAGGACACGGCAGAACGGGTATTAGAAGGGCCCGAACACCCTGTCCTAGGGGGATGCGTCGCGTAAGGAATGCTCTGACGACTGTTGCCTGCCGCGAGCCTGGTGAGGCCCTCTCCCCTATCTGACGACCTTACGACCGTGCTGCTAAAGATGTGTAGATATTGCTACATAACAGAACACTAAGTATTAAGGTGATTTATACTAATATTACAATAGAATTGCGAGACTACGTTATATAGAAGGAGAGAGAGAGATGGGAGAACCTACGGGCACGATCGGAAGGATAAGCGGCGGAGTGGTATGCGACCGATCCGTTGGCTGTCGTAGATGGTGTTGACGGCAGCTCCAACCATGGCTGAGGACTCCACGGACACAACCGCTCGGCGAGACGACTGGACGACGACTGACAGACAGACGAGCGCGGGCCAAGGCAGAGATGCAGAGCACTTCCCGCACTTCTGGATGTTGCATGCGCATTCAAACCATGGGAAAGTGTCTGCGTCCGTGGGAAGGCGTAGTATTTCGTCCTCCATAGCGTGAGAACGTGGCTGGAGCACGGGAAAGTATCGGCGCATACCTTGCACGTTGAAAAGGTCGTGACGAGAGTCGCGACACTACCAACAGTGTCATTCTCAACGAGGTGTTGAGCGCGAGGGAGCCGGCGGTAGATAGCCTTCGCAGCGCTTTGCACATGTAGTGCTGAGTAGTGTAGTGCACCCCTGTCGAGAACTTCCTCGGCCCGATGTTCATCCTGCGCCCCCACCTACAGCAGGCGAAGCACCGTTCACACACAACATACATACGTACAACATACATACACACAACACACACAACACACATACAACACGCAACACATACACACACCACTTATCCGATTATATATAGTAGGGTGTATTCATTACTTCTGAAAGGCATGCCCCAGGATCACATAAATACGGCTCTTGCACACGAATGCGAATATTTTGGTGCGAAATGGGCCAGCATACAGAAAAAAAATTAAAAGAATCCGTCGAAAATGCTTAGGTTTAGGACTCACTCACCTTCCTAATTGGCTGTGTTAAGGAAATGAGAGCGCGGAGAGAAGAGTATTTAGGCGAGAGAGCGCTGCAGATGAGGGAGCACCAGACAACAGCGATAGGAGAAAAGATTCTGCAGCTCGAGCAGCTTACTTCCTCGCTGAACGGATGTAATATTCGTGTTCTACGGGTAAATCTTCGTATAACTTCGTATAATGCCTTTCTAGGCCGAAATGATCAGTCGTCGACAATTAAAAAGATCGCGGCTCAGTTGAAGGAGGGAGTAAGGGTAAATAGTGCCGGAATTCCTTCGCACCTACTACTTTTCTAGCATATTCAAAGTTCTCGGCTCAGGTCTGGCTCCATGATCTCAAGCTCAAGTAGCGATGGAAGCGACGAGATGCATTCAGTTTGAGTGATGCTCCATTGACGCTCTATGAACATTATTCTTTTTATCTTTGGCCATTTACTGTTACTTATACACGATTATACTTCCCATTTTTACTCTCAGGTTCAAGACTACAAGAGCATTACGCTGAGTAATTAGTATTTCGTTCTTATGCACAATTCAGGCACTCTTTCACCAATATTTTTTGTCATTATTGAGTTAAGATATTGTACGTGTAAAGTCGATACCCAGGTATCGGCTGTATTTGATGGTGTGGAGGAATCCTCAGAATTACATTCCTCGCTATTCCTGTTCCTAAGATATCCCTTGAATAAGGAAGAAGCTTCGCGAAAGGGTTTTTATAATGTACTACCATATCAAAGGCGGATTCCACGATGAAAAGTTAGCTCATTGGAAATAAGGGTAGAGGTGGTCAGTGGAGCAGGGATGAAGAACCATTTGAAACGGCCCGAAACCCGAGAAATGGGACCCCTTCCTTGCCCGTTGATTTGCGCATTGATGCGACTCTCATCGCTGTGCCCTCTTCAACACTACGCTCTCTCTGCTATCTAATCACTCGCCACGTATAGACCTGCGGCGAGTGATTAGATAGTCGGTGGGCGTACCCCGCCAACCGCGCCAAGAGTGAGCCATGCTAGATCGCCGAGGTCAAATCTTTCGCTGCCAATTGCGCGTCGGTCAGGAGGTCCGCCTGTCTCCCAACTATGCAATTTTTCCTTCTTTGACCTTCGTTCTTATCGGGAATTCCTCCTTTAACCGTACTGTTGTGTCTGTTGTTGTGAGTGAAAAGATTGCGCTCGATAAACTATTAGGTCGGTCCATAATTTTTGAGAACCTTTGGTGTTTTTCGATTCAATTACTTATCTTATTTCTCTGATGTATTTATTCAGCATAGTATACATCACCATTATTACCAACATATAACCAATGCGAGGGTGGGTATTCAGTGTCTCTCTTGTAGAATTCCATAGAGTTCTGATCGAAGAAAAATTGGATGTCGATTTTGACATCATGGTGATTCAAGTGAGATTTCTTCTCCAGAAGGTGAACTAGAGAGGAGAGCGGATAGTCGTTCGTTGGCACGGATTAGGGCTACAAAGCGCAGTTGAAAGAACCGAAACTCTCCAAATTTTTGAGAACTTTTTTTTTCAAAAGGTGGAGTCGAATGATTAAGAAAAAGAAGAGATTTTGTCTTATTCTGCTCCTAATTTGAAAGCGTCATAAACAAGCTGTCGGCGATTATCTTCACCCCTGGCAAGGGTTTTACCCCAGAGCTGAATCAGGGAATGAAGGCTGCTTAACACGTCGCTGGCACGAGATACAGGCAGCGAAGCCGATAGCTAAAAACGACCGCCGCAGACTCTGCCCATTTTTCGGAACTGTTTTTTGACGAAAGTGAGTCGAATGATGTGAAAAAGATTTTCGTCGTAGATCGTGTTCCTAAATTTGGAAACGTCGCCATCAAGCGTCTGGACTACTCACCCCTGACACACGGGTACAGAGTTCATAGGAACTAGACATGAGTACAGACGGGATGCTCAAAATAAGTGATTCACAGCCAAACTTTCTTGCATATCTTCGGCAAAGATGAGTATTGAATTTCGCTTTTCCCGCATATTTCCTTGGGCCCAACAAGTAACTTGAACCAGAGTTGGACCCACCGGAAGAACAAATAACTATACGTAGGGCTCTCAGTAAAGCTGGATAGTTCTCCGGTAATCGTTCTCAGCTGTAAACGATTTTTCCCTCTACGCAACGACGAGCTTATGAAAGCATAGATGCGCTTGGTGTCTGGTGATAGCGATTATTATTGGTTGTCGTTTCCCAGCGCAAAGCCCCTCACGCTTTTCTCCAGCAACTTATTAAGTAGAATCCAGAGGGGATTGGCTTTATGCTGTACAGAATCCGAATCGTTTTTAAAGGACGAATTCACGATGAAAAAGCAACCCATTTCAAATTAACCTAGGGATGGTGAGTGGTACACGAAAGAAGGAAGAACCATGAGAAACGGCCCAGAACCCGAGAAATGGTACCCCTTCCTTGCCCGTTGATTCGAGCATTGATGCGACTCTCATCGCTGTGCCCTCTTCAACACTACGCTCTCTCAGCTATCTAATCACTCGCCACGTATTGAACTACGGCGAGTGATCAGATGATCGGTGGGCGGAGATCGCCGGACCCGCCAGCTTTGAGGCATGATAGGTCGCCGAGGTCAAATTTTTCCATGCGAATTGCGCGTCAGTTCGCACCCTCAGGAGGTCCGTGGGTCCCTCAACTAGGGGCCCTTCGACGTAAGCAAACCAGCCCTTTTGGCACATCGGCTGGGACCGTATGCTGAATGTTGGGGAGGGGATGGGGTCCCCAACGGTCGACGGTTTACTTCAACTCGGTTGGTACGATAGGAGAGTACTGACGCAAGTG